AGGTAAGTATCTGGTATCCAGGCCCCAGTAGTCTGCGTGCGCCTCTGGCAATGCATTTTCCGTAGGATCGGGCAGGAGTTAATAGTTTGGACAAGAGGAATGCGAACAATAGAAACATTTTAAAAGCATCCCTTTTTACTTGTTACTGAATAATCGTGTGGCAACTCAAGATACCCGCTTTAACATCACTCAATTTGCGAGTCGTAATAATTGTCTTTTTGGCTGTAAGTCGGCAGTGTTTAGGAGGCTACATTTGGCTCAGTGTGACAGGTGCTTAACCAATTAGGCGTTTATGAATAATACAGACCTTAATTCATTCATTATTTTCGGAAGCCGGACTTCACACACCAACAAATCACTGTCGGAAGTCCAGTGGTTCCGATCTTGATAATTAGCTTTAAAATTTTCACAATCATCTTCAGAACTATCAGGACCTAGCAGAATATGTTCCATACTGTTAAAGGAATGTATAAGCTGTCCCATTCATTATGATTAAGTGGAAAAGCCAGTCGACTGGCCTGACTTGCCCACAGCCTATCTGTATACAAATCTGGTTAAACACATCATGGTATCACATATGTCAGCCTTAAACGTAGCGTTACACAATATAAACTTTATAAACCAGGTTATGAACATTTGCCTAAGATATGTGGTGCTTTCTGTATGGTCCGAGTTGTAACTTTGCGACCATAAGCTGGACTCTTGTGCCCTCTGGGCTGGGATGGATTGATGGGTTGGTTCGGGATTGACAGCTCTATTGTTTGGAGAGCCGGTGCAGACAACATTGTCATGCAGGCAACAATGCCTTTTCTAAATAACTCCTCAAACTGGCGTAACTGTTACAGGTGTAGAGTTCTTCCTTGCTTCCAAAACATCCTTTTAACAACCCTTATTTGATAATTTTTGCCCACTTCAAAGTGCAACCTTGTTACCTTCGCCAAGAAGCTTATGTTTTCAGTAGCGTTTGTCTGTCTGTCTGTCTGTCTGTTTTGTTTGTTTGTTTGTTTGTTTGTAAACAGCATCTCAAGAAGGTTTGAATGGAATCTAATGATATTTGGTATGTGAATAGGGTGGCCCCAAATTTCAAAATAATTAGATTTTGGGCCCCTGGTGGCTTGCATTGACACTGCAGCAGAACTTATGATCTAGACATACTTGGGTCACGAATTTTGCATGAAAGATACCAGTAGCTCTTGTGCTCGGGAAAAAGTCATTAGTTTAGTCCCCCTGGCAGCTTGTCCTGGTACTGCAGGAGCGTTTAATGAAAAGGCGGATAACTCAAGAACCGATTGACGGATTGTCGTGATTTTTAGTCTGTAGGTAGCGGAAGTGATGCTTGACATAACTAAATACAGAAGTTAAAAGTAAAGTCAATTTAAATCAGTCCAAATAAGTTCTTATCGTGTCTAGAATGTGTTAGGGCTAGGCATGGCATGGTTCTGGATAGTGTCTTCAGAATCTTGCCTTTCTAGTTCTATGCACGAATGGGTTAGGGTTAGGATTAGGAACAGGCTGAATCAATCGAGGAAATCAACTTACAAAATTGCACATTTCGAGTCGATGTGGCCTCAGTTGATTCTACCTTAAGACCCGTATAAAAGGTTTCCACTCGTGTTAATATGTGAGTTGCAATTTGTTTCATCAGGATAACAAAGACAGTGTTTATCTTTAAAGCATAATTTGAAGACACACAGAGATATCGCTACCAAAAAGCCTAAATAAACTAATTAACCCTCAACAAACTATTTCTAATCTGTCTGTGCATTACAGGGAGTACAGCAAAAGCAAGCCCCGGGCAGTGTGGTAAGTGAATGATACGGTCACTTTCTATAATTACAAGCTGGTAAAATGTTGTTGCAAAGTTAAAGCTCTGTTCCAACGCAAGAAAGTAACTCACCATAAACATTCGGTCGATCTCGACAACCTTGGTCAGATGTGTGATGCACTCGTTGACAGACCGAACATTTATTTTAAGTTCCTATCTTGTGTTGAAGTAACGTTTAAACTTTTGATTTTACCAAAACAGATGAGCTTTCATTTTAATTTCATCGCCTTGGTGCCATGAGGCAAGAAATTATGTCATAGTATAATGACGTTGGTGGTTAGAAACAGAGTATGTTGCATTTGATATCTACATTTATGTCAGCTCATGTTTTGATTGTTCTAAAATTAGTCCTGAAAGACAAAAAGGAAGTACGGTATTGGCCGTGACTTCTTGTGTTGTTCTATATAGCTGCAAGCACCACCAACATTGCCCTGAACCGCCCTGCGACCCAGTCGAGTACTGCATATGAAGGCGCTCCCGGCCGAGCTGTGGATGGAAACGATAGTCCCGCCTACTCAAGTAACTCCTGCACCCACACGAGAAACACTCGCAACCCATGGTGGCGAGTCGACCTGGGCAGCAGTCTGTGTGTGGATCGGGTGGTCGTCACCAACCGGAAAGACTGCTGCTCGGATAGGCTGGAAGGCTTCACGGTTTACGTGGGCGACAACCCCGACGTGATGGCCAACCCTACCTGTGGGGGAGCGCAGTCCGTCGGAGGCAAGGGCACCATCACGGTAGACTGTGGCAGACGGACCGGCCGATATGTGGGCATAGCTCTGAAAGGCTCCGGGAAAATCCTCACACTCTGTGAGGTGCAGGTCTTTGGAGGTATGTCTGTATTGTACTCTTAAACATCTGTCGTTAGTTCGACCATACCATGTTCTATTGGTCCACTTAGGCTACATGTACAGCTGAACAAATCTGAAATGTAACTTTCCCCACAAAGTGGTTTGGGATTTCCGACAAAGACAAATGTCTAATATTTCTTACACCTTAAACGATTTCATTGTCTCCGTCTATACAGGAACTCCACCACCTAAACCGAAACTTGGTACAATGTGGTGAGTACTCAATACAAATATTTTGTCTATTCTTTCTAGCACATTACTTTCAAGCCAGTAACTCAATGACAAGCAACTAGATATGATTTTGGAAGGTATATCCAGTTGCTTTAGCAATTATTTGTTGGAGCATCTAATTACCTGAATATCTAACCTTCACTGACATTTATAGCACATTACTTTTGCAATGAGTTTATCCATTTCGGGCCTGGAGAAAAAGGAGCAAAATCATCGCACAACATGGACCGTACTTAAGAAAGCAAATTCAGATGGACTTCTAGCACAGTTTGTTTTGTATCCTGACTAAGCACTACCATTCTTGTAGCCTCCCACTGTTCTGGCCACAGTAAGCTTGATGACCCAGTGCACACACTTCTCACTAAACCTGACCTTTTTATTATTGACAGTTTAACAGTTTATTGAAAAATCAGTCTCGCAGCGTGTACAAAACAAGCTGAATAGCACTGACTATACAATCGTGACTAACATTACGAATACATGACAAAACAACACACCGATAAATACCAAATGCATCGCCATGAGCACTGAGGTTAAGACAAGAAGACTTCCAGAACAGTCTTACTAAGAAGACTTATTGTACAGGCGTATGTCCTGGTGCAAGAATGATTTTTATACATCCATACATGAATCAGTCAAAAGTGGACATAGTCTGTCTGTTGCCGAGGTTCTAGACGCTGATGTGACTGTTAATTGTCTTTACAGCTGCAAGCACCACCAACATTGCCCTGAACCGCCCTGCGACCCAGTCGAGTACTGCATACGAAGGAGCCCCAGGTCGCGCTGTGGATGGGAACACTAGTCCCGCCTACTCAAGTAACTCCTGCACCCACACGAGAAACACTCGCAACCCATGGTGGCGAGTCGACCTGGGCAGCAGTCTGTGTGTGGATCGGGTGGTCGTCACCAACCGGAAAGACTGCTGCTCGGATAGGCTGGAAGGATTAACGGTTTACGTGGGCGACAACCCCGACGTGATGGCCAACCCTACCTGTGGGGGAGCGCAGTCCGTCGGAGGCAAGGGCACCATCACGGTNATGATCTAGACATACTTGGGTCACGAATTTTGCATGAAAGATACCAGTAGCTCTTGTGCTCGGGAAAAAGTCATTAGTTTAGTCCCCCTGGCAGCTTGTCCTGGTACTGCAGGAGTTTAATGAAAAGGCGGATAACTCAAGAACCGATTGACGGATTGTCGTGATTTTTAGTCTGTAGGTAGCGGAAGTGATGCTTGACATAACTAAATACAGAAGTTGGAAGTAAAGTCAATTTAAATCAGTCCAAATAAGTTCTTATCGTGTCTAGAATGTGTTAGGGCTAGGCATGGCATGGTTCTGGATAGTGTCTTCAGAATCTTGCCTTTCTAGTTCTATGCACGAATGGGTTAGGGTTAGGATTAGGAACAGGCTGAATCAATCGAGGAAATCAACTTACAAAATTGCACATTTCGAGTCGATGTGGCCTCAGTTGATTCTACCTTAAGACCCGTATAAAAGGTTTCCACTCGTGTTAATATGTGAGTCGCAATTTGTTTCATCAGGATAACAAAGACAGTGTTTATCTTTAAAGCATAATTTGAAGACACACAGAGATATCGCTACCAAAAAGCCTAAATAAACTAATTAACCCTCAACAAACTATTTCTAATCTGTCTGTGCATTACAGGGAGTACAGCAAAAGCAAGCCCCGGGCAGTGTGGTAAGTGAATAATACGGTCACTTTCTATAATTATAAGCTGGTAAAAGGTTGTTGCAAAGTTAAAGCTTTGTTCCAACGCAAGAAAGTAGCTCACCATAAATATCCCGTCGATCTCGACAACCTTTGTTAGATGTGTGATGCATTCGCTCACTGACAGTAACTTTACGGTGAGCTCTTTCTTGTGTTGGAATAACTTTTGAACATGGCAACTACTGATTCTACCAAAACAAATGAGCTTTCGTTCAAATTTCATCCCTTTGGTGCCATATGCATAGGACAAGAAAAAAAGGCATAGTATAATGACCATTTTATGTTTATTGTTCTAAAGTTAGTCCTGAAAGACAAAACGTAAGTACGGCATTGGCCGTAACTTCTTGTGTTCTTCATCTTTATAGCTGGTAGCACCACCAACATTGCCCTGAACCGCCCTGCGACCCAGTCGAGTACTGCATACGAAGGAGCCCCAGGTCGCGCTGTGGATGGGAACACTAGTCCCGCCTACTCAAGTAACTCCTGCACCCACACGAGAAACACTCGCAACCCATGGTGGCGAGTCGACCTGGGCAGCAGTCTGTGTGTGGATCGGGTGGTCGTCACCAACCGGAAAGACTGCTGCTCGGATAGGCTGGAAGGCTTCACGGTTTACGTGGGCGACAACCCCGACGTGACGGCCAACCCTACCTGTGGGGGAGCGCAGTCCGTCGGAGGCAAGGGCACCATCACGGTAGACTGCGGCAGACGGACCGGCCGATATGTGGGCATAGCTCTGAAAGGCTCCGGAAAAATCCTCACACTCTGTGAGGTGCAGGTCTTTGGAGGTACGTCTGTATTGTACTCTTAAACATCTGTCGTTAGTTCGACCATACCATGTTCTATTGGTCCACTTAGGTAGGTTATATGTACAGCTAAACAAATCTGAAATGCAACTTTCCCCATAAAAGTGGTTTAGGATTTCCGAAGAAGACAAATGTCTAATATTTTCTTACACCTTACAAATTCTCATTGTCTCTGTCTATACAGGAACTCCACCACCTAAACCGAAACTTGGACAATGTGGTGAGTACTCAATACAAATATTTTGTCTATTCTTTCTAGCACATTACTTTCAAGCCAGTAACTCAATGATAAGCAACTAGATATGATTTTGGAAGGTATATCCAGTTGCTTTAGCAACTATTTGTTGGAGCATCTAATTACCTGAATATCTAACCTTCACTGACATTTATAGCACATTACTTTTGCAATGAGTTTATCCATTTCGGGCCTGGAGAAAAAGGAGCAAAATCATCGCACAACATGGACCGTAATTAAGAAAGCAAATTCAGATGGACTTCTAGCACAATTTGTTTTGTATCCTGACTAAACACTACCATTCTTGCAGCCTCCCACTGTTCTGGCCACAGTAAGCTTGATGACCCAGTGCACACACTTCTCACTAAACCTGACCTTTTTATTATTGACAGTTTAACAGTTTATTGAAAAATCAGTCTCGCAGCGTGTACAAAACAAGCTGAATAGCACTGACTATACAATCGTGACTAACATTACGAATACATGACAAAACAACACACCCATAAATACCAAATGCATCGCCATGAGCACTGAGGTTAAGACAAGAAAACTTCAAGAACAGTCTTACTAAGAAGACTTATTGTACAGGCGTATGTCCTGGTGCAAGAATGATTTTTATACATCCATACATGAATCAGTCAAAAGTGGACATAGTCTGTCTGTTGCCGAGGTTCTAGACGCTGATGTGACTGTTAATTGTCTTTCCAGCTGCAAGCACCACCAACATTGCCCTGAACCGCCCTGCGACCCAGTCGAGTACTGCATACGAAGGAGCCCCAGGTCGCGCTGTGGATGGGAACACTAGTCCCGCCTACTCAAGTAACTCCTGCACCCACACGAGAAACACTCGCAACCCATGGTGGCGAGTCGACCTGGGCAGCAGTCTGTGTGTGGATCGGGTGGTCGTCACCAACCGGAAAGACTGCTGCTCGGATAGGCTGGAAGGCTTCACGGTTTACGTGGGCGACAACCCCGACGTGACGGCCAACCCTACCTGTGGGGGAGCGCAGTCCGTCGGAGGCAAGGGCACCATCACGGTGGACTGTGGCAGACGGACCGGCCGATATGTGGGCATAGCTCTGAAAGGCTCCGGAAAAATCCTCACACTCTGTGAGGTGCAGGTCTTTGGAGGTACGTCTGCATTGAACTCTTAAACATCTGTCGTTAGTTCGACCACACCATGTTCTATTGCTCCACGTAGGCTACATGTACAGGTAAACAAATGTGAATTGCAACTTTCCCCATAAAAGTGGTTTGGGATTTCCGACAAAGACAAATGTCTAATATTTTCTTACACCTTACAAATTTTCATTGTCTCTCTCACTACAGGAACTCCGCCACCTGCAGTCAGCAAGGCACCGTCGACAGGTGAGCACTTATACTCGATATTTGCACTCACGTCACTACATATAGTTTAGCGTCGGCCATGGCAATGGATTATACACACTAATCAAACAATAACATCTCATCTAATAACATAAATATCTTTCTGCTGATTACCTTGATTTTGGCCTACCTACAACTGCTATTCAACACATGTACCAGGATAATGCTACTATCATACCATGTGTTATATATATTAGGTTGTCGACGCACAATATGTTTTTTTATAAATGGCAATTCTCAAGGTTCCTCACCAGCATGGCTGCGGCGGGACCCGTCCTGGGTTGTCGACTCCGCCGGCACACCGTGGCAGAATGGAGGAGTCACGTACGACGCCGCCAAAGCCTTGGATGGGAACATGAATACCTACTGGAACCCCCAGAAACTGAGGAGGAGATTCAACAACTGGTACATCGTGCTGGATCTCAAGGCGCCCTACACTCTCTCAAAAATCGGGATAAACAACTTCGGAGACACCGCACACGACGTTAAAGCCTTCAAGCTGCAAAAGTCGCAGAGTGGGAGTCCGTACAACTGGGAGGACGTCAAGTCCGTCGGTAACGTGCAGAAAGCGACAAGGGAGCGTCAGGAGTTCGGCGGGTTCCAGGGAACAGCGCGGTATTGGAGGTTCGTCATCACAAGGACCTACAGGGGCTGGCAGCCATGGCTGAGAGAACTGAACTTGTACGGAAGCAGAGCAGGTAAGATGAACACCTTTTTATTGTTTGTTTTCTTCTCCTGCTATTTCGTTAAATGGATTTAATTTCTTCATTTTGGGGCTAAATGAATTGAAACTTGACATGAAGGTAGAGTAGGCAAGTAACCCCAGGCGTTTTTTTTATTTCTTTTTTATTTTTAATTCTTAATTTTTTAATTTTTTATTTTTATTTTTGCATCATTCTTCATTATTTTTTGTTTTAATTTTCTGTCAATACAGAAACTCCACCACCTAAAGTCAAGGCACCACCAAAACTCGGACAATGTGGTGAGTACTCAGTCCAACTAATTTGTCAATTCTTTTTAGTACACGTGTACATTACTTTTAAACAGATAACTCAATAATAGGGAACTAGATAGCCATTTGGAAATTATATCCAGTTGCTTTTAGCAACTATTTGTTGGCGCATCTTATTACCTGAATGTCTAACCTTCTCCGACGTTTTAGCACATTGTTTTTGCACTTGAATTCTTTATTTCAGGCCTGGAGAAAAAGAAGCACAATCATTGCACGACATTAACCACACTTAAGACAGTACATTCTGATGGTCTTCTAGCCCAGTTTGTATTGTATCCTAACTAAACATCACCATTCTTCCAGCCTTACACTGGTCTGGCCCCAGTAAACCTGATGGCCAACATTGCTCACTAAACATGACCTTTTTTTATAAATCTGTATCGGTATAGCTGATATAACCGCCCTACGGCATAACACACCAGCTTCGCAGGCACGCGGCGGGGCGGCAGCTAGCTATATCACACCGAACGACTTGTTACACTCAATCTTTGCACATTTGATTTCAGGAGTTTTTGAAGCTTTCGAGTGATGATACCACAGCTGTGCTTGGTGGCAACGAGTTCCAGTCTACGATAGTTCTGGGGAAATACGAATTTTTGATTACCTCAATTCTTGGTTGATAACTCTGATATTTGAAGGCATGACTGTTTCTTGATCTTTTCTGGGCTGGTATCAGATACTTAGTGGTTGGTACGTTAGATACTCAGTGTTTGGTGTAACCATACATGAATGAATCAACAATGGACATAATAGTGAGGTGCACTTCTCACTAAACATGACCTTTTCATTCATTCATCCATACATGAATGAGTCAACAATGGATAGAATCTGTCTTTTGCCGCGGTGCTAGACGCTGTTGTGACTGTTAATGACTGTTAATTGTTTTTCCAGCTGCAAGCACCACCAACATTGCCCTGAACCGCCCTGCGACCCAGTCGAGTACTGCATACGAAGGAGCCCCAGGTCGCGCTGTGGACGGAAACGATAGTCCCGTCTATTCAAGTAACTCCTGCACCCACACGGCAAGGGAGGCCAACCCATGGTGGCGAGTCGACCTGGGCAGCAGTCTGTGTGTGGATCGGGTGGTCGTCACCAACCGGAAAGACTGCTGCTCGAATAGGCTGAACCGCTTCACGGTTTACGTGGGCGACAACCCCGACGTGCTGAAAAACCCTACCTGTGGGGGAGCGCAGCGCGTCAGAGGCAAGGGCGCCATCACGGTGAACTGTGGCAGACTGACCGGCCGATATGTGGGCATAGCTCTGGCAGGCAAAAGAAGAGTACTTACCCTGTGTGAGGTGCAGGTCTTTGGAGGTACGTCCGCAATGAACTCTTAAACATTTGTCGTTAGACCATACCCTTTCTACCTGACTACTTTGATACAGCTTAACCAAACTTGCTAGCATGCGAAACCACATTTCGCTTCCATGTTGAATATTTTGATTTTAGCCTAAGCCTTAAGCTTTACGAGTCATACGCCAATCTTACATTAATTGTTTTATTTTTATCAATTTTCCAGGTCTGCCAGCACCAAAGTCCGCACTGACAGGTAATCCCTCATACTTCATGTTTGCGTCACTATAGTTTAGCGTCCGCCATGGCGGTGGATTAAAGACACCAGTCAAACAATCATATAAAATGTTGTCTAAGAATATAAACATCTTTCTGCTGGATCCCTTGATCTTAGTCTACCTGCAACTGCTATTCCCCGCATGTACCAAGATGATAATTCAATCATACCATGTGTTATATATAGCTTGTCGACGCAGAATTTTTTTTAAAAAAAAGGGCAACTCCTTATTCTCTATGTTCCTCACCAGGTGGATAGCTGCAGGACCCGTCCTGGGTTGTGGACTCCGCCGGCACACCGTGGAAGAATGAAGGAAAGACATACGATGCCGCCAAAGCCTTGGATGGAGACACCACTACCTACTGGAACCCACAGAAAACGAGGAGGAGATTCAACAACTGGTACATCGTGCTGGATCTCAAGGCGCCCTACACTCTCTCAAAAATCGCGATCAACAACTTCGGAGACACCGTACACGACGTTAAAGCCTTCAAGCTGCAAAAGTCGGAAACTGGGAGTCCGTACAAATGGAGGAACGTCAAGTACGTCGGTAACGTGCAGGGAGGGGCAAGCGAGCGCCAGGAGTTCGGCGGGTTCCAGGGAACAGCGCGGTACTGGAGGTTCATCGTCAGAAGGACCCACAAGGGCTGGCAGCCATGGCTGAGAGAACTGGCCTTGTACGGAACCAGAGCAGGTAAGATGAACACCTTTTTAGTGTTTGTTTAGAGTTAACACTTTTTGGTCCAACACAAAAAGTTCTCTCACCTAGAGCTTTCGACCAGTCTGGTCTTCCTCAGTAGACTTACCCAGTAAGTATTGTAACAGTAATCCTTTCTTTTGTAATTTCCTAGGTGAGACAACAGCCCAAAGTGCCGGACTGACTGGTAAGTTGATATTTGCACTCACGTGATTATTTTTTAGCGTCTACCATGTCGTTGGGTTAAAGGCACCTGTCAACCAATCAAATAAGATGTCTGAGAAAAGGAGCATTTTTCTGTTGAATCTCTTGTTCTTGGTCTAACTACAGCTGCTATTCACCGCAGGTACCAAGATGATGCCTCAATTACACCATGAGTGAAAAGTATAGATAGCTTATCACAAGCACAAAAGATGTCTAATAAGCAAAGGAGAGAAACAGTTTAATACTTTTAGAAGGGAAAATCAATGTTCGTCATGAAAGCATAATTGGGTGACAAACACACCAGTATGTGTAAAACGAAGACAAAGGTTTCATATTTCTTAAGACGCTAAAACCTGTACCCTTCTCTGCCAATACAGGTAGCGGAACCTCACCACCCAAGCAACAGGCGAAGCAAGGACAATGTGGTGAGTGTTGAAAACGAATATTCTTTTCTCAATCTCAACATAGAGATAAATTTATCCATGAAACTAAATCGTAGCAGACCATAGACACCATCTGGCATTCAGAAGTGTTTTTTATGTCTAAATCCTAGATTCAGTAGATTGAGGCAGTACATTCTCATTGATTTTTGCCATCTTTCCAGCTGGAAGCAAAAACAACATTGCCCTGAACCGCCCGGCGACCCAGTCTACTACTGCCTTCAAAGGAGATCCCGGACGGGCTGTAGACGGAGACCGTACTCCCTTCTATGGCAAAAAGTCTTGTACTCACACGGCAATGCAGCGCGATCCATGGTGGCGAGTCGACCTGGGCAGCAGTCAGTGTGTGGATAGGGTGGTTGTCGTCAAGCGAAAGAGCATCGGCGAAATGTGGCTGGAAGGATTCCAGGTATCCACATTTCCCTTTTTGTAATCATAAACACTTTATCTAAGAACTGTGGGGCCATGTGATATAAAGGTAGAGTGTTCGGCTCCGAACCTAAAGGTCCTGGGTTCGAATCCTGCCATGCCACCGATCTTGTGCCCTTGGGAAAAGCACATGCTAGGTAGTTTTTTTCGGTTAATTGTCATGACCATAAAACAGTGATCACAAATCGGAAACTCAGATTTATAGATTAAAAACTAGCTTTGAAACTTACATATAACATGTTGTGTTTAAAGGTTTACGTGGGCGACAACCCGAACGTGGTGGAAAACCCTACCTGTGGCGGAAAGCAGTCTGTTGCTGGGAAAGACGTCATCACGGTGGACTGTGACGGACAGACGGGCCGATATGTGGGGATAGCTCTGCCGGACAAGAAACAGTTCCTCATCCTGTGTGAGGTGGAGGTGTATGGAGGTACGGTTGTGTGAAATTGTGTACCAACTACTTTTTGTTATATCATATAAAGTGGTAGTCCACATCAAATATATCGGAATTAACCAAGCGAATCTGTGACATTAACTTTCTGTCTACTACCAAGATCTAAAGGGTTTTTGTACTGTGGTCTTGGACCATAGTTAGACACAAGTAATGACCATTTACACATACAAATTACCATGTTTAACAAGTTGGATCTCATTAAATATTTTTCTGCACTCTCCATATATTTCAGGAATATGGCCACCTAAAGTCAGCAAGCCAACGCCGAAATTTGGCCAATGTGGTAAGTCATTTAATCTTACAACTTTCTCATTCAGACGAAACAGTGGTCGGTGTAACCAGCGGAAAATGGTTCTAGCACTTGGTAGATGAAATGGCAGTATTTTCAATTTATACCTCGCTTTCGTAGTTTAATTGTTGGTTTCATTTGCTTCCAGCTGGAGGCCAAACCAACCTGGCCCTGAACCGCCCGGCGACCCAGTCTACTACTGACTTCAAAGGAGATCCCGGACGGGCTGTAGACGGGGACCGCACCCCCTTCTATGCCAAAAAGTCTTGTACTCACACCAAAATGCAGCGGGATCCATGGTGGCGAGTCGACCTGGGCAGCAGTCAGTGTGTGGATCGGGTGGTCGTCTACAAGCGAATGCACATCGGCGAAATGTGGCTGGAAGGCTTCCAGGTATCCACATTCCTTTTTGTTAATCATAAACACTTATCAAGAAAGGTGGGGCCATGTGGTGTAAAGATATAGTGTTCGTCTCAGAACCTAAAGGCCCCGGGTTCGAATCCCGTCAAATTAAGATTAAGAAAGAGCCTCAAAACTTACACATATTTTTCTTGAAGGTTTACGTGGGTGACAACCCGAACGTGGTGGAAAACCCTACCTGTGGCGGAAAGCAATCTGTTGCAGGAAAAGAAGCAATCACGGTGAACTGTGCCGGACTGACTGGCCGATATGTGGGGATAGCTCTGCCGGACAAGAGACAATTCCTCATCCTGTGTGAGGTGGAGGTGTATGGAGGTACCGTTAGCTGGAATTCTTATCTCTCTGCTGTTATTTTTAATCTTATTAAAACAAGTTTTTAGACTTTGCCTTTCCTTACTATAACGCTTCAACCTTTGTCATGTTCAATCTTTGTCTTCACCTCAAAGTAAAAAAAAATAGTCTTTGTCGTCTTCTAGGACCCTTGTCAAGTGCATTTATATTCCTTAGGAAAATGCAAATGTCTGTAAAATATGACTTAAGATGTCGAATATTTTATTTTAGCGAAAGCGCACTACAGGCCCTGTGTATGGGCTAGCTTGCGTGTCATAAGCCAATGTTAAATCAGTCCTTTTCTTTTTATCAATTTTTCAGGTGTGGCAGCACCAAAGGCCGGACTGACAGGTGAGCACTTATACTTGATGTTTGTGTAACAGTACGGGAGGGTATAGGCGCTACCAACTGACCCGGCCGCGGGGTCTAGACCTTTTCAGCCGAGTGGTTAGAGCGTCGGCGTGTGGCCCGGGGGCCGTGGGTTCGAACCTGGCCCGGCACCAGGGGTTTTTATCTGTTTCTACTCGCTCCCCCTGTTTCTTACATTTCCACTCACGTCACTATAGTTTAGCGTCCACCATGGCGGTGGATTAAAGACACCAGTCAAACAATGATATATGTGGATGTGGTCTAAGAACAAAAACATCTTTCTGTCGGTTCCCTTAATTTTGGTCTATACCTACAACTGTTATTTACCACATGTTCCAGGATATTGCTTCAATCATATCATGTTTTATAAATATCTTATCGACGCACAATATGCTCTTTTAAATAAATGGCAACTCTTAAGTATCTGTGTTCTTCACCAGCTGCATGGCTGCGGCGGGACCCGTCCTGGGTTGTGGACTCCGCCGGCACACCGTGGCAGAATGGAGGAAAGACCTATGATGCCGCCAAAGCCTTGGATGGCGACACCACCACCTATTGGAACCCCCAGAAATTGAGGAGGAGATTCAACAACTGGTACATCGTGCTGGACCTCAAGGCGCCCTACACTCTCTCAAAAATCGGGATAACCAACTTCGGAGACACCGCACACGACATTAAAGCCTTCAAGCTGCAAAAAGTCGCAAACTGGGAGTCCGTACAACTGGGAGGACGTCAAGTCCGTCGGTAAACGTGCAGAAAGCGACAAGGGAGCGTCAGGAGTTCGGCAGGGTTCCAGGGAACAGCGCGGTATTGGAGGTTCGTCATCACAAGGACCTACAGGGGCTGGCAGCCATGGCTGAGAGAACTGAACTTGTACGGAAGTAGTGCGTCAGCACCTAAAGTCAGCAAGCCAACGCCGAAATATGGCCAATGCGGTAAGTTATTTATTCTCAATCGGTTATGCTTTAGTTTTTTTTCAGTCAATTAAAAATAGTTCTAGCACTTGGTAGGTAAAATAGCAGTACTTTCCATTCATACCTCGCCTTCATAGTTTTAATGGTTGGTTTCACTTTTTTTAGTCTGGAGGCCAAACCAACCTGGCCCTGAACCGCCCGGCGACCCAGTCTAGTATTGACTTTAAAGGAGATCCCGGACGGGCTGTAGACGGGGACCGCACCCCCTTCTATGCCAAAAAGTCTTGTACTCACACCAAAATGCAGCGGGATCCATGGTGGCGAGTCGACCTGGGCAGCAGTCAGTGTGTGGATCGGGTGGTCGTCTACAAGCGAATGCACATCGGCGAAATGTGGCTGGAAGGATTCCAGGTATCCACCTTTCCGTTTTTGTAAATCATAAACAGTTAATCAAGAACTTGTGGAGCCATGTGGTGTAAAGGTAGAGTGTTCGGTACCAGAACCTAAAGGCCCCGGGTTCGAGTCCTGCCAGATTAAGAAAAAGCTTCACAACTTACACATAACACATCGTGCTTGCAGGTTTACATAGGCGACAACCCGAACGTGGTGGAAAACCCTACCTGTGGCGGAAAGCAGTCTGTTGCTGGGAAAGAAGCCATCACGGTGGACTGTGACGGACTGACTGGCCGATATGTGGGGATAGCTCTGCCGGACAAGAAACAATTCCTCATTCTGTGTGAGGTGGAGGTGTATGGAGGTACGTTTGTGGAGAAATGTTAGCAGCTCTCTAGTTTTTCTTAGAACGTACAAAGTGGTAGTCCATTTCGCATATATTTTACCCAACCCAACTAACTTTTTACATGGATTTTCTGTCCTCTACCAAAAACTAAAGATGTTTGAAGTTTTATCAGAAATCCATCAGATTAGATCAGCATCTATTCTATTCTTCCTGGATTGAAAAGAGATTTTGTGCTGAGGTCTAGGATCCCAGTTCGACACATTTTGTGACCATTTACAGACCCAAATGACTGTCTTTAACTAGAAAAAGTCTATTGTCTATGTATTTCAGGAGCATCAGCACCTAAAATCAGCAAGCCAACACCGAAATATGGCCAATGTGGTAAGTTATTTATTCAGAATCGGGCATGCCTTCGTTCTTTTTTGAGTCAATTAAAAATGGTTTTTGCGTTTGGTCGAAAAGGGCAGAACTGTCCATCCACACCTCGCTTTCGTAGTTTTAATTGTTGGTTTCATTTGTTTCCAGCTGGAGGCCAAACCAACCTGGCCCTGAACCGCCCGGCGACCCAGTCTACTACTGACTTTAAAGGAGATCCCGGACGGGCTGTAGACGGGGACCGCACCCCCTTCTATGCCAAAAAGTCTTGTACTCACACCAAAATGCAGCGGGATCCATGGTGGCGAGTCGACCTGGGCAGCAGTCAGTGTGTGGATCGGGTGGTCGTCTACAAGCGAATGCACATCGGCGAAATGTGGCTGGAAGGATTCCAGGTATCCACATTTCCCTTTTTTTGTAAATCATAATTAACGCTTTATCAGAAAGGTGGGGCCATGTGGTTTAAAGGTAGAGTGTTCGGTCCGGAACCTAAAGGCCCCGGGTTCGAATCCTGCCAGATTAAGATTAAGAAAGAGCTTCACAACTTACACATAACCAATTGTCCTTGAAGGTTTATGTGGGTGACAACCCGAACGTGGTGGAAAACCCTACCTGTGGCGGAAAGCAGTCTGTTGCTGGGAAAGAAGCCATCACGGTGGACTGTGCCGGACTGACGGGCCGATATGTGGGGATAGCTCTGCCGGACAAGAAACAGTTCCTCATCCTGTGTGAGGTGGAGGTGTATGGAGGTACGTTTGTGGAGAAATGTCACCTCTCTAGTCTTTCTTAGAACCTATGAAATAAGAGTCTACATCGCATATGTCGTAGCTAACCAAACGAACCTATGACATTGATTTTTGTTCTATAAAAAACGGAAGGTGTTTTTACTGTGGTCTAGGATCACACTTTGACACATTTTTGACCATTTACAGATTCAAATGACTCTGTTTAACTATGAAACCCATTTATCTATTGTCTATGTATTTCAGGAGCGTCAGCACCTAAAGTCGCCAAGCCAACACCGAAATTTGGCCAATGTGGTAAGTTTTTTTGTTCTCAATGGGGCATGCATTAGTGTTTTCTTCAGTAAATTAAAAATGGTTCTAGCATTTAGTAGAAAATAAAGTTATACCTCGCCTTCATAGTTTTAATTGTTGGTTTCATTTGTTTCCAGCTGGAGGCCAAACCAACCTGGCCCTGAACCGCCCGGCGACCCAGTCTACTACTGACTTTAAAGGAGATCCCGGACGGGCTGTAGACGGGGACCGCACCCCCTTCTATGCCAAAAAGTCTTGTACTCACACCAAAATGCAGCGGGATCCATGGTGGCGAGTCGACCTGGGCAGCAGTCAGTGTGTGGATCGGGTGGTCGTCTACAAGCGAATGCACATCGGCGAAATGTGGCTGGAAGGATTCCAGGTATCCACATTTCCCTTTTTTTGTAAATCATAATTAACGCTTTATCAAAAAGGTGGGGCCATGTGGTTTAAAGGTAGAGTGTTCGGTCCGGAACCTAAAGGCCCCGGGTTCGAATCCTGCCAGATTAAGATTAAGAAAGAGCTTCACAACTTACACATAACCAATTGTCCTTGAAGGTTTATGTGGGTGACAACCCGAACGTGGTGGAAAACCCTACCTGTGGCGGAAAACAGTCTGTTGCTGGGAAAGAAGCCATCACGGTGGACTGTGACGGACTGACGGGCCGATATGTGGGGATAGCTCTGCCGGACAAGAAACAATTCCTCATTCTGTGTGAGGTGGAGGTGTATGGAGGTACGTTTGTGGAGAAATGTTAGCAGCTCTCTAGTTTTTCTTAGAACGTACAAAGTGGTAGTCCATTTCGCATATATTTTACCCAACCCAACTAACTTTTTACATGGATTTTTTGTCCTCTACCAAAAACTAAAGATGTTTGAAGTTTTATCAGAAATCCATCAGATTAGATCAGCATCTATTCTATTCTTCCTGGATTGAAAAGAGATTTTGTGCTGAGGTCTAGGATCCCAGTTCGACACATTTTGTGACCATTTACAGACCCAAATGACTGTCTTTATCTAGAAAATCCATTTGTCTATTGTAAATGTATTTCAGGAGCATCAGCACCTAAAATCAGCAAGCCAACGCCGAAATATGGCCAATGTGGTAAGTTATTTATTCAGAATCGGGCATGCCTTCGTTCTTTTTTGAGTCAATTAAAAATGGTTTTTGCGTTTGGTAGAAAAGGGCAGAACTGTCCATCCACACCTCGCTTTCGTAGTTTTAATTGTTGGTTTCATTTGTTTCCAGCTGGAGGCCAAACCAACCTGGCCCTGAACCGCCCGGCGACCCAGTCTAGTGTTGACTTTAAAGGAGATCCCGGACGGGCTGTAGACGGGGACCGCACCCCCTTCTATGCCAAAAAGTCTTGTACTCACACCAAAATGCAGCGGGATCCATGGTGGCGAGTCGACCTGGGCAGCAGTCAGTGTGTGGATCGGGTGGTCGTCTACAAGCGAATGCACATCGGCGAAATGTGGCTGGAAGGATTCCAGGTTAGCTTTTCATTTCTGTGTGATGTCATGCACATAAAAAATGGTTAGAAACGAATACATGTCTATGAAACTAAATTTATACAGTCATAGATTACGAAAGAGCTTCACAACTTACACATAACAAATTGTCCTTGAAGGTTTACATTGGTGACAACCCGAACGTGGTGGAAAACCCTACCTGTGGCGGAAAACAGTCTGTTGCTGGGAAAGAAGCCATCACGGTGGACTGTGACGGACTGACGGGCCGATATGTGGGGATAGCTCTGCCGGACAAGAAACAGTTCCTCATTCTGTGTGAGGTGGAGGTGTATGGAGGTATGGGAAATTCTCTTTATTAGAAGAAATTAATAAACGGCTGAGATGAAATGTATTCTACTTCACCAAACGTTCTGTCATTTTGATGTTAATTACCTTTTGCTGTGTTCAGAAACTGCCTTCCATTTACTAAAATCTAAATCTGGACGGGAAGGAATCAGGGATTAATTTACAATATACCTTGCAAAGCTTCAAAGATGTCCTAATAATTAACATTCATCTTTTCTTTTTTTTTTAAATTTTCCAGGTGTGGCAGGTGCAGTGAAAGCTCAAAGCGCCTCTCAGACAAGTAAGACTGTTAACTTGATACTTGCACTCACGTGATTATAGTTTAGTGTCCGCCATGACGGTGGGTTAACAACTGTCAACCAATCACATAAAATGTCTTAAGAGGACGTGAAAACCAAACCGTTTGGGAATGCTTGATAGTAAACCATTTATAGGAACTTTAACATACAAATAAATAATGATTTTTGTCAATTTTGCAGGCTCTGGTCTGAAACTAGCACCGCCTAAACCGAAAGGTAGGTTTTTACCTCCATGAAAAATGGAGGTATTGTTTTTGGTGTGTATGTCTGTGTGTTTGTGTTTACGCACATTTGTAGTCAGCATAACTTCATAACGCCTTTATGGATTTATGTTCTCGTCGCGAGAACACGAGACTAGGTCGAGACTTGTGTAGACCCCGCCTCCTTGCGAGACTAGGTCACTCCATGATTAAGGTGTACAGTCGACACCGAACAGTTAGAGGTACGTGAATTTACCTTACAAAACTTAGATCTACTAACCATACAAATGTATATCTTTTAAAGACAACTGCGCAGCGAAGCCGTGTAAGAATGGAGCGAAGTGTGAAAGCAAGGCGGACGGTTTCACCTGTGTCTGTCCCAAGGGATTTGCAGGGAACTTGTGCGAAACCAGTAAGTATTTATCACTAACGTTTCATTCTATCTATTATAGATGCCATTAAGTCCTCATTTCGTTGACAGTTGTTGCGAGAGATTACTAATAAAGATACTTACCATTCATGATATGCATTTTGAGTAATTGTGTTTTGGTCATGATATGCATATTTTCTAACCTTTTGCAAAGACGTATTACACGGATCTAAAAATCTGGATGAGATTCTTAACCATTCTTTATTTGTTTTAGACGTGGATGACTGCGCTGCCAAGCCTTGTAAGAATGGAGGAAAGTGCGAAGACAAAGTGGATGGCTTTACCTGTGTCTGTCCCAAAGGATATGCAGGAAACTTGTGTGAAACCAGTGAGTATTTATAACTAAAGCTTCATTCTACAGAAGATGATATAATTTTTTTTATCACTGGTTATTAAGTAATTTTAATTTTGCACGTGATACAGTTCATGTTCTATACATCTCCAAGCATTGCAGCAAGTTCGACTCTTTGATTCTTTATCATTTTTTCTTAAAGATGTAGATGACTGTGCGGCGAAGCCTTGTAAGAATGGAGGAAAGTGCCAAGACAAGGTGGACGGTTTCACCTGTGTCTGTCCCAAAGGATTTGCAGGCAACCTGTGCGAAACCAGTAAGTCCTTTTTTTCGTCATTGGGTAACTTGGTTAATGTTCTACACATATCCAAGCCTTGCTGCAAAGCATATTTAATTGAAGTATAAAAATAGGTTTGACTCTTTGATTCTTTATCATTTTTTCTTAAAGATGTCGATGACTGCGCCGCGAAGCCTTGTAAGAATGGAGGAAAGTGCGAAGACAAGGTGGACGGTTTCACCTGTGTCTGTCCTAAAGGATATGCAGGCAACCTATGCGAAACCAGTGAGTCCTTTTCTCGCCATTGGTCATAAAATTATTTTCCAATTGATACAGTTCATGCTATACACATCTCCAAGCCTTGCTGCAAAATATATTTCACTGAAGTACAAAAAATAGGATTGACTCTTTGACTCTTTATTATGTTTAAATATTTATTCTTTATTCTTTATTATGTTTCATTTTTTTAAAGATGTCGACGACTGTGCGGCGAAGCCTTGTAAGAATGGAGGAAAGTGCGAAGATAAGGTGGACGGTTTCACATGTGTCTGTCCCAAAGGATTTGCAGGCAACCTGTGCGAAACCAGTGAGTGACAATCTCTAACTTCTAGTAAACAATTCTCAATACAAGTAATGACAGGGACAATTCTTAAAGATGTGCGTGTATGTCTCAAATCTGTTACAACGTAATCTGTATCTGTATCTGTATAGCCGGAATAACCGCCTTTCGGCGTAACACACCAGCTTCGCAGGCAGGCGGCGCGGCGGCAGCTGGCTACATTACACCGATCGACTTCTTACACCTAACCCTGGAACATCTAACTCTAGGCACTGTTTCAAGCTATCTAATGACAAAGCCCCTACTGTACTTGGTGACAGCGAGTTACATTCTGCGATAGTTCTAGGAAAGAATGAATTCTTGAAAACCTCAGTCCTATTGTAATGTATCTCAAGATTTACCAATACGTTGTTGCGTGTTTCTTTAAGACATCGACGACTGCGCCGCGAAGCCTTGTAAGAATGGAGGAAAGTGCGAAGACAAAGTTGACGGTTTTACATGTGTCTGTCCTAAAGGATATTCCGGGGACCTATGCGAGACCGGTGAGTACTCCTGACTATTGTTTGTTGTTGAAAAGGACTCAATTAGTGACAGTACACACACACACACACACACACACACACACACACACACACTTATGTATGAGGGCATTTACCTCGTATGAGGGCAGTTACATGTAGTTCATGAGGGCATTCTACTCGTATACGAGGGCATTAGCCTGTATACGAGGGCATTATCCTCATATATGAGGCGATTATCCTGTATATGAGGGCATTTCCCTCGTAAATGAGGGCATTATCCTCTTATATGATTATATGAGGGCATTATCTTGTATATGAGGGCATTCTCCTCACATATGAGGGTATTATCCTGTATATGAAGGCATTGACCTCATACATGAAGGCGTTTAGTTTATGAGGGTATTTTCCTCGTATTTGAGGGATTTGCTCGTATATGAAGGAATTTACCTTTTGAGGGCATTATCCTCGCCTTTGAGGCCCTTTCTCCTCGTATATGAGGGTATTACCCTCGTGTATGAGGTCATTGTCCTCGTGTATGAGCCATGTAGCTAATGAGGGCATTTCCACGTATATGAGGGCAATTTCCTCATATATGAGGGCAATTATATCGTATTTGAGGTCATTTTCCTCGTATATGAGGGCAATTACCTCGTATATGAGGGCAATTATATCGTTTATGAGGGCATTTCCTCGTATATGAGGGCATTTCCTCGTATATGAGGGCAATTTCCTCGTATATGAGGGCAATTTCCTCGTATATGAGGCATTTCCTCGTACTGAGGGCATTTTCCTCGTATATGAGGGCATTTTCCTCGTATATGAGGGCGATTTTCTCGTATATGAGGGCACTCGATAAACTCGGTCGATCAGGGCATTATGTACAATGTTAATTACACACTACTAGTATATACTATGCACTATAACCATATGGCAGTCAGTCACTCAGTCACTATATGAACGTTTATCCGTTGTGTTTTTACAGATATAGACAACTGCACCCCCAACCCTTGTAAGAATGGTGGGACATGTAAGGACCTGGTCAACGCTTTCCTGTGCAGCTGCCCCAAGGGATATGGAGGAAACTACTGCGAGATAGGTGGGTCTAAATAATTAAATAAAGATTGTTTTACTCTCTTTACTCCGGAATCTACTCCACCATAGCGTAGCATATATACTTTCTAGCTCTGGTTCTGGCCTATTGCAGCTGGAATAGCTAGGATGCCTCATATCTGCCAGGCAAACTAGGCCCAAAGAGTTTTTTCTCTCTCAGTATTTATTTAGCTATGCTTCATCTGTTTTTTAAAGTACTAGTAAACATGCTACCTCCCTATATATCTATTTTTCTACCTATCTCTTTTCTCTCCTTGTTTCTCTAGCCCCCTTTCTATTCTATGCCCCCTCTCTCACACACATACGCATACTTTATGCTTGTATCTCATCACATGTTCACTTTCAATTAGCCCAGAGTCGTGACTTTGCAAAAAAAACTGTCAATTCATCTCCAGTTGCTTTAGAAAGAGAGAAGAAATCCCGAAGACTTAGATTAGATAGTATACTTTCTAGAAGTTACTAAGACGTTTACGTTAGCCTTTTATACTTTTATTGCATTACATGTATTACGATACTCAAGTATCCATATACTTGTAGCATCATACTCGTACATATGCATTTAGCCCCATGAACATACAATAAACATTTGATTAATGAAACGTACCTATTCCACCCCCAGCTGCCGCGGGCCCGCCTGCACCCCAGGCGCCGAAGCCGAAGGCTGTGGAGGCGGCCGGCCAGCCGGCACCGGGTCACGGCGTCGTCATCACTATCGGCGGGGGCGGTTCGGGTGGAAGCTCTGGTGGGTAGAACGAATGAATGAATGAATGAATGAATGAATGAATGAATGAATGAATGAATGAATGAATGAATGAATGAGTGAATGAGTAAATGAGTGAGTGAATGAATGAATGAATGAGTGAATGAATGAATGGTTTATTTAATCATTTTGATGGAGTCAAAAGTACATCGCAGTACACTGAAATTAATATTTTTTCATATTTAAAAATTGTTGCCATTAGGCTCTTTTACTGTTTACCAATTACCGCTAATATTAACATACATATTTATCATTTATACCCATGTAGCCCATGGGCAAGACCATGGAATAAACAGTCATCATTGTTTCTAGTGGTTGAAGAAGGTATCTTATACTTTACCCTCTGTGTTTCAGGAACGGCCGGACAAGGCGCTGTCAATGTCATCAACAACCAGATCTCCGTGTACAGCAGCGGCGGCGGTGGATGTGGCTGCAAAACGACTAACTGTGGTAAGGATAATTATTTACTATGTGTGTGTGTGTGGGGGGGGGGGTATAGGTATTTCGATGCAATACAGTGGCAAACGGGGTAGATTTAATCGCAGATGCCATACATTATGTCATGGCCCCCTCGCAGGCTGGAAGGAAGTGGAGTTTACCTACACATATTCAATACCGAATTAGAGCTTGCCATAACACAGTTATACGGTTTCTTTCCCACATCCGTTCAAAGTACGCCAGGCCTTCTCTTTGGTTAAATGCCAATACATTTTCCAATTTTTCCATGTTCATATTTTCAAGAAACATACCACTTGAGGTTCAAACGAATGCAATTTTTAATACTTTTAAGACGCCAATCGACTACCTTATGTCGAAGTTGCAAAGAGCTCTTCCTTTTTGGTAGAAGCAGTTTTGTTCTTACATGAAGAACTGCGTTGCCCCCGGCAGTGGTATTCGTAGTATTTTCTTACTGACACCATTCTTGTTCTGTTCCAGCCTGCCCAGTCAAGAAGGGAGTAGTAAAGAAGGAAACAGACCCGTCCACTGCAGACTCTGCAAGTCCGAATGACCTGACTGAGATAGTGAAGCAGCGCCTGCGCGGATCCGTGGACCATAGTGAGGATAGCCCCTCCAACTTAAAGGAGCTGGACACTGTGGATGTCTTTGAAGACGGGGTCCTCCTTAAGCCAGGTAAGACGCTCCGACCTTCTTATCAAAGAAGAGCTTTCTCTATCTGTATCTGTACTGTATAGCTTTTCTTTGTAACACACCAGCTTCTGTATGTGAACGGTATAACCGGCCTTCGGCGTAACGCTCCAGCTTCTGTACCTGTATAGCCGGTATAACCGCCCTTCTGTGTAACACACCAACTTTTGTATGTATATAGCCGGTATAACCACCGTTCGGTGTAACACACCAGCTTCTATATCTGTATCTGCATCTGTAAAGCAGGTATAACAACGGTTTAGCAAACGTGTCAGTAATGGCATCGGAGAGTGGCTATATCTCTGAAATTTCGCCTTCGGAATGTTCAGTTTGTGTCCACCTTAATAGTAGCCTTAATCTTAACATGGAGCTAGATCCTCCTTGATCTGAACAAGCAGCGTTGCTTTGTGGTAATATTAGGCAAAAGAAATTGGCAATGTATCTAATTTCTTTGTTGTTGTTTTCGCCACACAGAAGCCCGCGAATCGCAAGATAACATCGAGGATCAGCCAGCTGACGACATGACTATTTCTGATGACGACACCGCAGTTTCTGATGACGACACGGCAGCCCAGGCTGCGGAAGAGTTCGAGGCGGTGAACAGTAAGCTGAACGCACTGCGTGAGCTCCTGAACCTAGCTCAGGAGTGACGCCTAGCGACATAATGCAGTACTGCAGATCTGAACTTAGTCCATCATAATCTTCAAGCATATCTTTTGGTGACAAAATCGTAACCAAGACATCATCAAATTGGCTAGACAATATATCATTGGCCACAGTAGAGGATTGTATTACAATGTTTTAATACCATATTATCTGGCCAATTTGCTAGATCTGCTTGAAAATGAAATTGGTGAACAAGAAAAGTAATTTGTCTAATTAAAATTATTGAGGGAAAATCTAACAGAGGTTTAATGTTGGAGTAATATTTCTATAATTGACATGTTGTGTTTATACGTTTTATTCCCCTAAAGAATCTCTGTTTTAAAACGTAATTTACACCAGGTTTTTGCTGCTGATACAACACTGTGTTGAAGTGGATATTATGGTGATGGATATACATTGCTAATACAAAGGGTTGAGTGAATGATAACGAAGGTTTTTAATTTTTCACAATTCGAAGTTGTGCATTTATGTCTACGAATGAATTATAAGCCTCAGGAAATATCAACAGGGTAAATGAATGACTTATCATAAATGGCTTACTTATCATAAATGGCTGACATATTATAAATGACTGACTTATC